CCGGTAATGAAGCTTTCTCAGCAAACGTTAGCTGAAATTCGGAAATGTGTTTTTGATTTTTAAAATGATTACTAATGTAGTGTTTTAATATAAGCTATCGTACACAAGATATTTCAGTCACGTCAGGATACCAGCTTTTAAACGGGATTCTTTCGGAGTACCTCAAAGCACCACATTATATTAATTTACCCTATCAATTTTTAACTGCCCTTATAAATTCAAATATACTTTTTAGGAAACACGCGCACAAATGTGCTTTTTTTTACTCTGCTGGAGAAATATTACGCCCTCTTCAAATTTTATACGTGAAACAATGTACCTTTGGGTTCCGAAAAACATTTTAGGTTCGCTAATAAGTTTTAATACTGTATTTCGCTACAGTTGTATTAACGGTTTCTCAACTACTCTGCGCAATAAAAAGATGACATTTTGTGCTCATAAAGTTTTGCAATAAATAGCGATTATGCACACTTAATAAATAAACAGATACGATGCTTTATGAATGGACATTTCACGGTCATAAAAAATCTCACAAATAGAAAGTTCGCCTTTCTTTAGATATAAATTTTGACCAAGCAGTTATTTGTTACCAAATTAGTACAAGAAAGGACATTTTTGATATTTTCGGACAATAGGAAAATTTCATGCGACTTAAGTAGCCGTTGCTGCATAAACTTTAGTATTTAAATTGGCCGGAGACAAGCTTGTTTGAAATAACTGCAACCGCGCTTAACTACTCCTTTGTAATCGAGAACACATTTCAGAATTTCCGCTGACATTTCATGACAAAACACGTCTACTGTCGGCCTTCATCGCCGCGATAATGTTTCTCGACTCACTGGTTAACTGTCCACTGTGGCGAAGTGACGAAAGCAGACGACTGCCGGTTGCTGTTGGCCGTGGCAGTTTTCGTAACTGCACGGCAGCTTCCAATTCCCTTGGTGACTTAGACCAAACACTCTACTGTGCAGTCTCGTGTCTGTCGTTTGCGTTCGGAAATATTCAAAGTCACCTAAGAGTTTGGTTCGCCAATGCAGCTTCACTGCTGGCCGAAGGGCACAATTAATTTGCGTCTTATTTTTCAGATCTGCAGACTGCAGTGGTAATCGCATAGTAGTAGGCAGTCAATAGTCTGATGCAGTCTCGACAACTGTGAGGAAAAAGCGAACCTCACGCATTTTCCGTCACAATGTGGCCCTGTGTGTAGTGCCCTTCCAAGTGGGGACATATACCCCAAGTAGGCTGGTACAGTGTCGGCGTTTTGGCAAAACTGAAGGAACAGCGAACCCAAATCTCTAAATAGGGTTAGACATCGTGACGCTCGATAATTAAAGGACTCAAGTCGAAATACCAGCCCATTTGTTACGCCTACCTGATGAGGGCTAGTATGTCAAAAAGGGCCGTATCAGTCTCCCCTGTTAAAAGTGCGTTCACCAGTCGCTTTGCTAATCATGCTCGTCCGCTTGTGTTTGGGACTCGATCAAAAGCCCAGTAATCTCTTACTGCGCTTTTTAGTTGTTGATAGTACTCGATACTTCTGCTTACTAGCCATTGACAGTAGTATATTGGTATATTTCGGATTTTTAAATTTCCCAGAAATAAATCGCCAACTTGGAGTAAAGCAGTCTATTTGAAGGTTGATAGGCGGGGCTGAATACTGCGAAAACCAAAAATCAATAATTTTTAAACTGGAATATTTACGAGGAAGCACGTAGGGAATTCTAGGAGACCCACTGATGAATCATACAACTTGTTGGTTGGTTGGTTGGTAGCCCATGTTGGATCAGGGGTTCCCGCCGGAGT